TCTGTATACTTTCTGAGGATTGCGGAATGTTAATTTTAGGTAACTCATTTCCCTGAAATGATGAAACATTAGTAGTGGATGAAATTTGTTTTAAAAATGATGCTTGCTGTTCCACTAGCTTATTCATGATATCATCATCATTTTTAGGTCGCACATTTGGTGCAAGACCCCGTCTCAACGCAAGCATGCAACTTTGAGTGGATAGGTACTTCTCCTTATGTGTAGCGAAATCGGAATCAGGGTCGACGTAGTCAAGAACATTTCGAAACGCGTACATCTCATCCGTTGACCTAACAAACTACTGCCAAATATCTTCTAGATTGTCAGTCCTAGTTAAGATTTCATCGTAGGATACCTTTTCTGGAGGACTGGTTGCGTAAGCAAGTGCCCGAGTAATTGAGCCCTTAAGGCGTCCACGCACGTGCATTAACACATTAACGCACGATTAAGAATACACATTAATGAATTTTCTAAGATCGATTTTATTTAATTTTAAAGTTTTTCAATTATAACAAATAAAAAGCCACGTGCACACTCCGAACTACCACGATAAACAACGAAGCTGAAAGTGTCTCTACAAAAAGGTGGTGTTACAATGCATTTCGCTTTTTTTGAACAAATATACAAAAAGGTGCAATCCCAATGTACAGTGTATTTGGTTCACGAACAATCCGAAAAGGATCTGGTCAGATACGTTCCAATTGCTACCTGAAAAGTTTGAATTTTCGGATAGAAGTGGAGAAAGTGAAGAAAAGAGTTTTACCTCCATTACAGACTAATAGATTAAAATAAAAATTATTAATAAAATCAAAATGGTACTCACCCATGTCCTTGGTGTCCGAACTGTTCCAAAACGTATGCCTCGCATTGGCGTCGCATCCAAATAGTGTCGAAATACCTTTTAATGAGCTGCTGCGTACTAGGGCGACTACTTCGATGTAGACAGAAGCCACAATTAAATTTGATCCACCTAGTATTTTTATCTTCACGGCTGTTAGATCATTCATTATCACTATATTGTGGATGTAAAAAAACATTTATAGCTTTTGTTTTACTAGGATACATAATCTTGGCTTGTCATTATTTCTAATATACAGGTTATTCCAATTTTTCAGCACTAGTCACATGACGTCCTTACATCTGACCCATGGCTCTTGCACAATTCTGACATCGACATCCTCCTCCACTTGTAAGACAGGAAGATTATTCGATGCGCCTTTCGAGTGCTGAAGGTTAATTTGTGCTGTTCTAAACATTCGAGCAGGCTTATTACTTCCCTAATGCTTCTTCCTGAACTTCATATCGTTGAGCAACTTGTTAGCATCTTCCATTGCCCTCATTATTGTTACCTGTTGAGCGAAAGATCTAAATTTTTGTGTATCGTACACCAAACCTGAATTTACAGTCCATTTATTTTATTGGCTTCACGGATTCTTCGTTTATCACTAGTTGGAGTACTTCTCCATGCTCCATTTTCATGACTGGCAGCCAAATGCGAGCCCTTGGTCTTCTTGAAATTTCATTGGCTGGGATAAACTCTTAAACGTTCCAAGAAATTTTTGAGACAATTGGTCGTCGTACTTGGAGACTGCAGCCGCGTACCACTCCCGACGAGTCACATCTCTACAGCGCTTTAAAAAGCATATTAAACAGCGAAAACTTACTTCAAAAGGGCAATAAAGAAAAGCAAGACAAGATGTTACAATGAGATGTGTATGGAGGTCGAGAATAATCTATAGGGACTAGGATACAAAGTGGTTATGAAAAAATTATACAGCTACCTCCAACCAGTTACAACAGTTGCATATAAACTCCACACAATAGTTGAAGGCCTCTCCCTTCAGAGAGCTGAAATAACCTATGCAGTCAAAGACAGTGAGACACATAATGAAACACCTGAGGTTAACAGACAAGAACTGGAAGCGGCAGGCAAAGGGATGGAACTAAATAAAGCTCCCGAGGTTGATGGAACACCAAACCTAGCACTAAAAATGGCTACGGAAATCAACGCTGATTCATTCAGTGTTCGACGCATGTATAAAAGTGAGAACATTTCCCAAGATATAAAAAATACAAAGATTGGTGCTTATACCGAAAGGCAATAACGCGCAAGATGCATCGGTATACCTCCCGATATGTATGATTGATACGGCCTTGAACAGCAATGGTTTGTTATATCGATAATTTGATTTTCGAAAAGCGCGTCAAAGGATACCGTTGGCTCGAAGGTGAAAAAGAATACTGTGTCATTATTACATTGGACGTCAAAAATACATTTAACTCGGCAGACTGGGACACTATTCTAGCAGCACTCTATGGGGAAAACGTCACAAAATACCTAATAGAATTAGTCGTTGATTAGTTTAAAGACAGAGTAGTCTTGTATTATACAGACAGAGACAAGAAGTCATCAAGTAGCAGCAGGGGTCCCACAGGGATCGGTACTCGGTCCAATATTGTGGAACGTTATGTATGACTGAGTTCTAAGGGTTGAGCTCCCAGATCATTATCATTAGTTTCGCTGATGACATCGCCCTGGTGGTTAGAGGGAAACATATAGGAAATATAGAAACAACATTCAACGATGCCGTCGCTATGGTAAATATGACAATAAAACTGAAGACCTTTTTGTAAGCAGCAGGAAAAATATCGAGTTCATTACAACAGCTGTGACAATAAGCGAGTCACATCAAAACAAGTGACCAAGTACCTTGGAGTGATGATTGACAACAGACTCACCTACAAAGAGCACCTCTAATATGGTGCTACAAAATGTGCGAAAACAAAGTGTGCACTATCGCGAATAATGTCCAATATAGGTTGACCTTAACAACAGAAGGAGCAGTTATTGGTAAATGTAAATAAGTCTATTGCTATATATGCGGCTACCATATAGGCAGATGAAATGAATAAAAAGACGTACAGATTAGGAATAGACGCAGCCTACAGGTTATGCGCACTCAGATTTGTTTGGGAGATGGACACATAACCTCATACCGAAAATACATGATTGACGGACAGAAAGCATTGGTAGATGAACTACTACCTAATCCAGATGCTAACTGAACACGGCTGCTTCAAAGCATATTTTTTTAAATTCAAACGTGACAAAGGCGACACGTCCCCAGCGTGTCCAGTTACAAAAGAAAGGGTGGAAATTGTGTTTTTCGATTGTTCGAGATACGAAAACTATCGCAACCAGAGAACAGGTCACACCTGATAACATCATGCACCTGAGTTGATGTCAACAAAATCTGAAACCTGGTATGTAAACAAAACAAAAAGACTACAAGACTATACGACTACCGGTAATTCTTTGTTATACTTACCAGTCAGACCAACATCGGGTCTCGCGTCGGCTGTTTGAACAGTGGGCAGAAAACCTATACTCAGCAAGCTTACCTGTAGTTAAGCCCCTACACCATGTCAAGGTGCTTACCAAGTAGGAGTTTTGTACTTCTTAACGTTTTTGATTGCAATCGTTGGACCCTGTCTAGAATTAAACTAGAAATAGTGTCCCATAGTTACATCAACTTTTGGAGGCGATGCGCAAACGGAAGATATCAACTTATACTCCCAATTTTTTACAGTTTTCTACTCTGTACTAGAAGCAACTTGTGTGCACTAAACAAATTTTTTTGTTTTTCGAACCACCCTAATATAAACTTAAAAATCTATATATAGAAATCACATATATACTATGAGTGTACATTTTCTAATTACCTGTAAAACATGTTTTTATGCGGTGAATAGGGACCGCACAAAAAAGGCATAAAAAAATCCTTCTAAACTTCACCTGAAACTATAAAAAATAATTTTCCAAAAACAAAAATATACTGCATAAAAACAGGTTTGCTGTTTTTATTGACTTCACAAGAATCAATACAAGTAAAACAAAAGTAAAATTAGATCATTCGCGAATTTTTCAAACTAACGATCGCGAGCGAATGAATCGAAAGAAGAATGATTCACACATATTGACACACACATTTTTTAAACGGAATACGGTTTTCGAGCGTCATTCAAGAGAGAAAACCCATGAACGATACTCAAAAAGGATTGCTTGCACCTTTGAATGACACGCAACCAACATGTTGGCATCATTCGGCTTCTCGCCCACATGTGAGCGATAGTCTGTCACTTTCATTCGAAAAAAAAAAAAAACTTTCATTCGTCATTCAAGAGCATATTTTTACGTGGTTGCACTAACCACGTGTCTACATTAAAAAAATAGTACTTTTTATCTCGATATGTGAACATATTTAAAAAATGTACATATTTGATGTTAGAAGTCGTGTATTCTGACATATTATAGAGCAACATTGATTTCACTAACGTGAAATCGCAATTTCTTTTGCTAGATTCTTAAACTTTTAATTCACCTTAAAATACACTACAGTTTCACAAAGCTAATTTTTAACATAAAGCGCGGTGAAGACTATCATTTTTGAATGTCATTCAAGTTGCGCTCTCTCTTGCTCAAATTTATTCCAGCAACCGAACTTGATCATGCTCTTATTCATGAGTTGTCATTCAAGCAAAATTATTGAAGAAAAAGGGTGTTTACGCACGCTGTAAATGTGTTAGTGCAACCACGTAAAATTATGCTCTTGAATGACGATTGAAAGTTTTTGGGTGACAGACTATTATTCACATGTTGGCAAAAATTCGAATGATTTGGTAAGCACGCCAACATGTTGGTTGCGTGTCATTCAAAGGTGCAGACTATCATTTTTAAATGTCATTCTTAAATTTTCTCTTTTGAATGACGAATTAATTTTTGCAATATGGTGTATATATAAGCTTATTTTTTAAAAAATAACATCTTATTTAGAGGGGACATTATTATTATTTTAGATTCGGCAATTTATTGTTTGCTATAGATGTTTATTAAAGCATCGCTCTGGTAAATGGTTGCATATATTCTTGTTCTGTTGTTCTTATTAATGTTGCATTTATAAAATATAGTTAATTACATTTATTTTGTATTTTTTTTTCAGTCTGAAATCAAAACTGTCGAAAATAATACTTTATTAAACTATTCAAATTGTGTTTCCACTGCTGATTGTGTTCAAAATTCAACAAAAAATAAAACCCATTCAGAAAAAATTAATCAAAAAACAAGAAATGAGAATCAACAAATATTGGAGTCCACAATATTAGAAAAAAAAGGCGACGATACAACTCTTGATGACTGCCCATCGACATCCAAAGCAGCTGCTGTTCGTTATCAACGAAAAAATAACGTTTCCTTAAAGAAGAAGAATGAGAAAGGATCGAATTATGCTACCAATTCTAATAATTTTTGGGAAGTTCTTTTAAGTATCGACTTAAGTACTCAACAACGTCTTTTAAATATTCATGACTTTCCTTTAAATTCATATCCAGATTGGAAATGGAATGTAAACACGACAGAATTTTTATCTTTTAATGATTCGCCTTTTGCAAAGTTATTAGAAATGTTGCCTTATAAAGGAATTTGTCGGTCTCCACAATTGACCGATATGTTAATTAAACTATTGGCGTTGCTAAGTAGTGAACTACCGAGAGAAGATAATATTGATGAAGCAGATTGTACACAATCAAATATTAATTCACCTAAAAAAAAAGATGATAATCAGAAAACAAATATAAAAAACATGAACTGTTTTCGAAAAGGTTACACAAAACGTAAGAATAGAATATATTCAAAAAATTTTTCTCAACTTCAACTTATTATCGAAGTATTAACACATCAATGTGGTACAACTGATGGACTTGATAATATTTCAAAATTAATAGTAAATTTTAGCCAGTGCTCACAAGCTTCGAATGCTATTTTACTACAGTATTTAGTTTCGGCGATATTAGGACTAGCAAATGATGTCCAATACGCGATTCAAAATTTATTAAGCGAAATTCAAATATACAATTTCAATAATACCGATGGAACAGTTTGTTCATATGATATTTCTTCTCAACAAGGAGTTATGCAAGATAGATTCACTTCACAAAATATAGTTATAGCTATGCCAACAAATATTAAACCATCTTGCAAATTACAGTTGCCAGCATTAAGAAAACTACTGTCACCTATTTCAGCTCAACCATATTTTCTAAGAACACTAAAAATATATATGCAAATTCGGGAAGTGTTCAATATTCACAACGAATCCAATATATCAAATGTACAAAATAAAAAACCAACCCTTAGCCAAATTATATGCTTAGATAACTTATGGAGTACGCTTAGTAAGTGCTTAGTGGCATTAGAAAATTCAAAGGATGAATACGCTGTTCTTGTGTTGCAGCCATCTGTAGAAGCATTTTTTTTAATTCATGCATCACATAAGAAGAAGCACACTGAAAGTTCTGCTACAGAACTGACAAATAATATTAGTGTAAACGCAAATGTCAATGTAAATCAAATAAAGAAAGAGGAAATTGAAGGTATGTATTTAATATTAATATCGTATTATTTAATAATTAATGTTACGTAAATGTCTTCGGATTTAATTGTCAGTCTTTCAATTATATGTGTATAATTGATTTTAAATATAAAAATAAACTTAGTGTAAGACAAATTTTTGATTTAGGATGTTTAGTTTAAGCAATGAATATTTAATACATAGAGTGTGCATCAGTAACAAATTTGTTGAACACACTGCGGGTCTACTGGTAGACCCTTTTTAGTCTCAATTTTTCACTCAAATTCTTAGAGCGACATTAGTGAGAAAATATGTAGTAAAGAGAATATAAAGGCACACATGATAATAGTAAATATATGATTTCAAATGCAGTTTTTTAATTTGAGTTAATTTTGAGTAAATCATAATAGAAATAGACAAGTGTTATATTTTTTACAACTATGTGAGCTATATAAATAAGTAAACAATATATCTTTTACTTACGATTGCCTGACTTTGACTGACTCTCTCTTTATTCAATATATGTGTATTAAAACTAATATTTACAGAATTGTAATTATACTACTTAATTATACAACATAATCGTTTTTACAACTTAGACTAATAATCTTAACCTAGGTCCTAGGTCCTTACTTAGAAATTATCAATCCAAAATCCTACATTCTAAATTTGTAAAATGATATTAATATTAAAATATAAATGTATATTCTTAATGTACATTTTAAACTAATCGCAAAATATAAATTACAATAAATTTTATGTAGTTTTATAAGTTAACCTTGGAACGACACGAATTTTCCGTTTCGTTATTTTCTTTGCCGGGGTATCCTCAGCCTCTTTCCAGGAGTCGTTACAATAAATTTGTATTAGCAAGGACGGGACTTCTAAAATAAAAGATGGTGATTTTAGTTTTCAGAACTATTTATTTACAAAAAAAAATCAATAATATATATACAAAAGGAAGAAATTAAATGAAATCAGCATGAACAAAAATAATTCCTTTGGCTTGGACAGCACATCAGTGGCGGTTGATTCGTTGGAACTCCCAATGGTCTTACTTTCAAAGACTACCTCTGTGAAATTCCAAATGGTCTATAGTCTGAACTTGTAGTTGGCTTAGATCAGATAAAAGAATATACGTTTGATTTTTTGAATATACATATAATGGTGTCCAAGCGCGTTGACTTAAAACCGCCTTACGCTCGTAAACTATTAAATATATATTTATGTACTATGTTATACACTACGACTTAACACCGCTTTCGTGTCAGATAATATTTATTATATTATTTTATTGGTTGACATATAATGCCACTCAGTGATCATACAAGACTCACCAAATTCTTAGAAAATTGCGCCGTCTTTTATACGCATCCCCTTGAACTTTTTGTGTAAAGTACACAAAGCTTTGAGTTGATCTTAGTTGAATTTAATGCAATTTAATTTAACACTTTTGCACAAAAGCTTCCTTGTGCATCTTTTTGCAGCGAATTGCATTCTGACGTTTGCAAATGTTTGTTTACATTTTTACTTTTTACATGTGCGCGTTTTTTAAATTAATAAAATTTATTAAAATAAGTACAATTAATTAAAGATATCGGAGTTTTAATAATTAATTTAATAAAATTATTTATATAAACGACGTTTCCTTTTTGTTTAAATTACTCCAAGTGACGTGTGTAAAGTGTTAGTGCAAAGGTATTTATAACTGTTTTCCAATTTTCTAAATGATAATTATATTTAATAAATTCATTTATAGAAACATCCAACTATTGAAGTATGCTGTAGACGAGTGTGCTGGGGTATGTAGGTTGAAAATTTGTACAGAATTTACATCCTTACAACCTTTGAGAAGGAATTCTTTTTCTTCCACTTTTTGATCTCTGAATATTTTGATTTGTTTTAAGATCACCTAAATCGTTATTTTGTTTCACATCTTCTTTAGTTTCTGTTTCTATGACTTGTTCTTTTTCATTCATACAAGGTGTTTCTGTGTTTGTTGTTGTTTATGTTGTCTATTTCTTCTATACTCTACTCCATTTTAATCTTCAACTAAAAATGATCTAGGGTGTTTACAACTTTCCACTATTCTTCTGGAATCCATACTGACATAGAATTTCTTTTAAAGTACACTTTTTTCCTATCTCTATAGGCTTCAGAATTTTTGAGGCTCTAATATTATTTGGTGACGAATTTTGATTTGTTTTTAAATAAGTATTTTCTTTTTTTTACTTCGTGCGGCAATTTAAACTTTAAATTATTAGACAGTGATGGTAATTTTTTTCTTGTATTATACCATTCATATTATAAATAAATAAATAAATAAATAAATGTAGATAAATAAATAAATGTAGATAAATAAATAAATGGAGATAAATAAATAAATGGAGATAAATAAATAAATGGAGATAAATAAATAAATGTAGATAAATAAATAAATGTAGATAAATAAATAAATGTAGATAAATAAATAAATGTAGATAAATAAATAAATGTAGATAAATAAATAAATGTAGATAAATAAATAAATAGTTTAGCATCTACTATCGTTCGCAGAATTTTTGATTGGAGCCTTTGAATAGTATTTATATAAGTCTTGCAGGTGGTTCCCCATATTTAAATTCCGTATTTCCAGATCGAAACAATTATAGTTTTGTAAATTAGTAGTTTGACTGGAATTTTAACAGACTGGAATTTTTACCAAAAAGTCAATATAGATCTGCAAATCTTCGATGAGCTTCCTTTTTCTTCTGAATTATGTGCTCCTTCCAAGTCAGCTTTTGGTCTAATAGTATGCCCCAGTATTTGGCTTTCTTGCAGATTGGTATATGTTTTTTTTTTTTTTTTTTTTTTTTTTTTTTTTTTTTTTTTTTTTTTGCTTGCCTTTATTATACAACTGCCAAGATTTAGCATTTAGTATACATTTTTACATAGTGGAACTTCAAGTAATAATTCAAAATAATGAGTAATAATGAGTGAACTATTAATAGTGGATAAAAAGAAAAGAAAACTTTTCTTTAAATTATATTTTTTTTTTTTTTTATATATAAATTTATTTTATTTGATTAAATAAATTTTATAAGAGTAACTAGCTAACAATATAATAAGCTAACAAACAATTTTAATCAACAATTATAAAGAATTTAATCAGAAATCACGTAAGTTCATTTATCACGCATTTCGGACAGGTTGTGACCAAAGATCACAAGGTTTTAGACGCTTAAGGCGACGTGTTGGTTCTATTGACGCCAGTTCGTTAGCTTCATCATTCGGATGAGAGTACAGTCGCTGCAGGTGCATTCTTGCATTTCGCTGTATTTCTTCCACCACCGTATTTATCCCTAGATCACGATGCAGATCAGAGTTCCTTACGTACCATGGTGCATTTGCCACACCCCTTAATATAACGTTTTGGAATTTTTGTATGGTTTCAACATGTGTGCTGCTAGCGCATCCCCAGAGCTGAATACCATATGTCCAAATTGGTTTTAAAATTTTAAATTATATGAACTAAATATTATAAAATAATTAAAATTAATGGATAGATGATATAATAAATGAGTCAATTAAATAGACTGCTATGAATTTACTATAAATATATTAGTTAGATTATTATAGTATTGCTAGTTCTGATGGAAATAAGCGTTTCAATCTTCTGTTATGTGTTGCTTCGTCATTAGGTAGCTGCCTCATTGCTGGGTTAGGATGGAAAAATAATCTGTCTGTGTGCTTTTTACTATTTTTTCGGATAACGTCTGCAACGAAGGGTATCTTTAAATCGCGATGAATGTCATAGTTTGAAATGTACCATTCAGCGTTGATGATAGTCCTAAGTATTTTTGATTGTAGTCTTTGCGATATTTGGATATTGTATTTGCATGCTGTGCCCCATATTTCGGCTGCATATTTCCATATTACTGTTTTCCAATTACTGTTTTATATAGTAGTAGATTATTTTCCATTGTTAGTTTTGATTTCGAGCTGAGTAGTCAGTACAATTGTCCAAAGCGACGCTTAATTTCATTGCTTTTAGCTTTAATATGGTCTTTCCAAGTTAATCTGCTATCTATAGTAATGCCAAGGTAATTTGCCTGGTGTGCCCCAAGGAAGCGTACTAGGTCCATTACTCTACTTGCTATACACTGCTGATGTCCCGATACCTTCTGATTCTCAAAGTTTGATAGCAACTTTTGCAGACGATACAGCACTAATTGCAGCTAATAACAATTTTAACATATCCACAGACAACTTGCAGAATTACCTAAACCCAACGCTCGAATGGTTCGACAAATGGGGAGTTCAAATAAATACAAGCAAAACAGTTCAAGTTATCTACACGAATAAAAAATATGACCTAAAACGTATAAAAATTAACAATGACGAAGTCTTCACACACACAAAGGCAAATTACCTTGGCATTACTATAGATAGCAGATTGGTATATCAATGTTAACAATTTTCAGTTTCTGTTCTTCAAATTTTCTGTTGGTGAAAATAATTTTGACGGTTTTTTCGGCGTTTATCTTTATCCCCCAGATGTCAGACCAATGCATCACTTAGTTTAGATGATTTTGAAGGTTTACAGTTGCTTAAGTGATGTCATGGTTCGTTGATAAAAGTCCAGCGTCGTCAGCAAACGTTACAGCTCTTAAAATACTCAGCGAGAACAGTTGCTTTTTCTTGGTTTGTGCTCGCCTAAGTGTTATTTTCTTTTTTAAGCAGTGCGCAATGGAGTATGGCACCATTACTACCCTTTGTCGCTTTCCATAAGGAGTAATTTGTAACCTTTATAGCACTCAATCTTGGGATAAAATTTGATACATTTTTTAGTCTTTCAGCCTCTAATAAATATTTCAGCTCTTTTGTTAATTTATTCAACTTTGTCTTTATTTGTGGAGCTCTAGATACTTGCCAGATTTTTCTCAACTTTCTGTTTTGTTCTATTTTATGTTTGATGTAATTCGGGACAGGTATTTCATTTTTTGTTTTTGTTATTGGTGTGGATGCAGATGCTGCAGATAA